CCCGGAAGACCTACGTAGGTTCCAAAAAAGTCCAGTCAGCCTTGCATGAGACCCTGCAAAGCCCGAGTTTGAGGCGTAGAGATTATAAGGTTCCGGGTTTATATAGGGTTTTTGGGTTTAGGGATTTAAGGTTTAGGGTTTTAGGATTTAGGGTTTCAGGGCCCCTAAACCCTAAACCCTAAACCCTAAACCCTAAACCCTAAACCTTCGGGGTTCTGAAAGTCTCATACTGCTTCTTGAGACTTGCGCCGAGCTCCAATTCCTGAAGCCTCCAGAATCTTTCAGCGGCCCTGACCCTCCAAGCAGTTCTAGACAGCCGATTCCAGCGAACCAGCATGGCACATTTTAGGGTTTAGGGTTTAGGGTTTAGGGATGGTGCCCGCTGAAGTCCATGAAACGCTTAGATGTCTTGGGCGTCCATTGGTTAGTGTAATCTTTTGCCTTGTCCCATGTGGGACATGTGCATGAAACGAAAGGACTGTTGGGTTTGGGTTCAGGCTGTTAGGGTTTGGTAAGGGGTGGAAACTATGTGGGATGGCGGTTCAGGGTTTTAGGTTCGTGAGGTTCTGGGAGTTTGAGCTTAAGCCCCTGAGGCTAGATAACGAGGTTTTCATGAATCACAGGGTGCAGGTACCCAATAATTAAGCTTCCTGCTGTATCAATGTCTCTTGCGTCCTGAAGCTCTCTAAAGTTCTAAAGTTCTTTATCTGCTCACGGAGGTTATGTGTGTGGGAGGGTCAATACAGGCTACGTTTGGGGTGTTGAGGCTTGTATTTTGATTACTGCCCTTACTGTCACTAGTCTTTGAGGTTTTGCTTCTTCTCATTCCTAATATTGACCTCGAGGTTTACCCGTTTCTTGATTCTGTTGCTAGCATGGGTGGCCTCAGCCTTGCTCTTAGTAGTATACTGCGGTTGCCGTCATTGCAGTGATTTCATAGGAAACCAAACCGGGTCGGAGGGGTCTGGGGGTTGATGAATGTTACTAATGGTATGTGGGTAGTTCTCTAGCTTAGGATCCCTTTTTTAAATTTAGGTCCCAAACATTGTACGGCACCCTTACAAGAAGGACCCTTAAAGGGACCCGAATTTAGAGAACTACCCATGCGCCCTAAACCCTAAACTCCAAAGTGCTCCCTAAACCCTAAACCCTAAACCCTGTATATATATATATATATATATACACTATTGCTTCCGTTACTGAGTCTTCTGATAGATTCGGCTTTTGGCCTTGGCCTGCCTAATATGGGATTTCTAGGGACCGTACAAAAAAGTAGGTTCTGGTGGGTTAAGGTATAATATAGAAGCTGACATAAATACCCACATGATTCCTTAGGGGTTCCTGATTACTATACTACAAAGGAGCCCAAAACCCTATTCTAATTATTATGGGTTGGTGGTGGAGGTCTGAGGATTGGATGCAGAAGCACAGCTCTGGAGCCCTCTTGAGAGATGTCTGCTGGTTCTTGCTGGCATTGGGAAGGCTTTTCGGGGGAGTTCATGCGAAAGCATGTTTCAATCGCCTTAGCCCTGTATGGAGTACGGGTCACAGGTTATCGGCCGCGCCCATCCACGGATTGCTTACCGTGGGCAGTCGGCCGAGGTGATTGTCCAGACATCCTCTTTAACATAAAACCCTAAAGCCTAAACCCTATAAACCTTAAAAAGCCGAAATCCCAAACCATACAACCCCACACCATAAACCTATATTAAACCCTATAAACCCTAAACCTTAAATCCTAAACCATCATAAACCCTAAACCGTAAAACTCTACACCATAAACCTAATATTGAACTTTCGTCCGGCACCCCGCCCTCCTTGCGCTTGAACCCCGAAGTCTGGAAACTGCTCCCTAGAAAGTTGGTTTAAGGGCCTGATTCGGTTTCGGGTTTAGGGTTTAGTGTTTAGGGCTTAAGGGCCTGAGTAGGTATCGGTTTAGGGTTTAGGATTTAGGGTTTAGGGTTTTGGTTTAAGGGCCTGAGTAGGTATCGGTTTTGGGGTTTAGGGTTTAGGGTTTTGGTTTAAGGGCCTGAGTAGGTATCGGTTTGGGGTTTATGATTTAGGGGCTTAGGGGCTTATATAATCCTACCATAACCTGACTGGTTAACCTTTTTGGGCTACGGCTAGGGTATCGGTTTGGGGTTTAGGGTTTAGGGGCTTATATAATCCTACCAGAACTTGAAAGGTTAACCTTTTTTGGGCTAGGGTATCGGTTTGGGGTTTAGGGTTTAGGGTTTAGGGGCTTTTCTCATCCTATCATAACTTGAAAGGTGAACCCTTTTTGGGCTAGGGTATCGGTTTGGGGTTTAGGGTTTAGGGGCTTACATAATCCTACCATAATTTGACAGGTTAACCTTTTTGGGCTAGGTACTCAGCCCCGAGGAAGTGCTTGGACAACCACTCTACCATCCAGTCTGGTGACAGCCAGTTACCTCTGTAAGCTTGAGGCTACCTCATTGCAGCCGCTTCCGAGGATCCGTGTTTCCTGTTCATGAAGTGTCTAGGGCCTAGGGGCATCGTAATCTCAGTGGACACGGTGACCCTAAACACGGTGACCCTAAACCCTATAAACTATAGTAACCCTAACCCTAAACCCTAAACCCTAAACCCTAAACCCTATACTAGTAACCCTAACCCCAAACCCTACCGGGGCTCATGACCTTCTTCAGCATCGTCCCGGAGTCGGCCCGTTCGTGGCTGTTGGTCAACATCGCGTCTTCATCATGCGTCGGGTTTAGGGTTTAGGGTTTAGGGTTTAGGGCTTAGCGTTTAGGGTGAAAGCAAGAGTTCTCTGGAACACAGAAGTTGAGACTTCTCTATGATAGCTTGACGCACGTTGTATGAGTGGTGGCGTAGTCGTGCTGCCTATGGGAAAATGTCTGTTCCTCGAGAGCCGCACAGCGTAACATGCCTTGAGTCCTCGAACCCTAAACCCTAAACCCCTAAACCCCTAAACCCCTAAACCCCTACACCCTAAATCCTGAGCCAGGTTTCGGAAGGTTGATCTGTCTGCAAAGACAGGTCATTTTTGGGGGCTTGGGATATTTTTACAGAGTTTGGGTGCCCGAAGGAACTGACTGTGCCAGAAGCAAAGATAGGCCTAATCATCCAGGTGCCTACTGTGTAGGGCCCGAGGGGCTCTAGTACCCTATGTAGTAGGTACCTTGGGGGTTAGGGAAACATAGGGCATGTGTTTTGTGGTTGCTTTTTCTTCTGCGTGGTCTGGGGCGGGATTCAGGGCATAGCTGACCTCCTACCTTTCGCGCGGAGGCCGACGACTACACTTGGCGGCTAAAAAAACTTGGGCACGCCTTTAGGGGAAGGACCATCCTACTAAGAAGGTCGGTGATACGTTGGGGTGTATTCCGGATCTAGGTCCGCTGAGTTTCCATCTTAAGACCCGGGGTCCGAGGGTAACTGAGGTTTAGGGTAGTTAGGGTTTAGGGTTTAAGGTTTAGGGTTTAGGGTTTAGGGTTTGGGTAGTTCAAGGGCCGACTTCCCAAGCCCGGAGGCAACAAGGGTCGTTCAAGGGTGGCAGGTTTTGATTCGCGACCTCGGGAGCCTGATGACTGCGATCTAGCTTTTCTACGGACCCAGCTCGGGCAGGGTGCTAATTTGCAATCGGGCCAGTCCGTGCAGACCGTGCATGCCGCGAGGCAGCATTGCGGGTGCGAGCTTCAAAAGAAGACTATACGGACCAATCTGTTGTCCTTCAATCCCTTTGTATATTTCAGAATAAGTAAGCCCTAATGACAGCATAGTCTTGCGGGAGTGTAGAAATAAACACCGAGGAAGTGCCTATGACTGCTAGCAGAGATGCAGAAGGGACTAGCATCCAAACCTCCCGTCTGCAAACCGTAAAGACTACCCATAGGCCCGATAGTAGTTCCTTTTGGGGATTACCTAATAAGGACCTTTTATGGGGCCTATGACTTTAAACCCCGAAGCACCTCACACGGTGCGGAAACCTACGATCTTATGCCCGCAGACACATGCAGGCCCCTTTTGCTTTTGGATGTCCTTGTTGTTGACCGTCTTTGGGGTCAGCAGCTGGTCGTCAAAGGATTTGCCCGAATCAGACTCATTACGGTATGTTTTAGTCTATAGTAGGTTGTAGTTTATCATAGTTGAGCATTTTGATTGAGGTTCGGTTCCAGGTCAAGCTTTCTGGCCCAGCTTTCAAAGCTGACCCTAAACCCTAAACCCTAAACCCTAAACCCTCTTCATCTTATCATCCCAGCTACACTTCAGGAGCTCTTGGGAAAGCCATTCCGGTGTAACTGGTCCCTGTGGCCGCAAACCGTAACCCGAAGCCCAGATTGCAGCAGACCTTTGCTGTCATGTGAACCGGGGATCGGCTCCTTTCCCTGATGTAGCCGGTTTAGACCCTAAACCCTAAACCCTAACCCCTAAACCCTAAGCCAGGCAAGGTGGGCAGCTAGGCAGGCAGGAGTAGGTGGGTAGGTAGGTCGGGAGGTAGGTAGGTAGGTAGGTAGGTAGGTAGGTAGGTAGGTAGGTAGGTAGGTAGGTAGGTAGGTAGGTAGGTAGGCAGGTAGGTAGGTAGGAAGGTAGGTAGGAAGGTAGGTAGGCAGATAGATAAAGAGATAGATAGATAGGTAGATAGATAGATAGACAGGTAGGTAGATCGATAGATAGGTACATGCATACATACACACATACGTGTGTACATATATATACAAACACAATCAAGTAGAGGGTTTCGTGATTTTTTGAGGCTGTTAGGGCGTAGGGGTTCGGGTTCGGGCCGAGAGGGTCTAGGGTTTGCCAGAGTTTGAGTCTGGGATTTGGGTTCCAGAGCGGGTTGGCTGGCAGGCTGAGGTTGTCAAGACCCGAACGTGACCCCTCACCTTGGATTACCAACCCTAAGCCGTAAGCCTCGCCCTGAGCCTGAACCCCAAAGCCAAACCCAAAATGCGTCGACCCTAAACCCCAAAACACTCACTTCGCCGAACTGACTATTATTATTGATTGCACCGCAGGACCAGGAAGCCCTGTGGGTTCGCGAGCAACGCTACCTGGCTATATATCCAGACAATTCAAGATCCCTACGCGAATCAGCAAGGCCCGTAAAATGAGTTGTGTTGCATACGGCCGGAACCGTGGGGACCTAAGATAAGATATATCGGGAAATGATGGGACGCTGTTGATCTGTCAATTCTTCAGAGGCCTGCCTCTTCCAGCACAACGACTTCTCCATAAGTGACCCTCAAAAATGATCGGCCTGGATTTCAATTTATAGTAGGTCTCCTGAATAAGGGGTCCTCCCCTGTTGAATACAATCTACAGATGGGCATTTCCAGATCAAAGCTTGCTGGAGTCCCTGGATGCATCAGACGTAAGTGCCTCTGCTTAGTGCTGCATTGCAGGAGTTTCAAAGCCGCGCAACACCCAATCAACTGCCTAAGCCTTGGCCCGAAATCCTTCATGGTAAGAGCTACACTGTTCCTGCCCGCAAAGAGGATGCTATCGACAGGGGTTTCTCCGGCTTCGGGAAAGTGTTTGGGCTCTTCGCTACGTATTGTCTAGAGAAATAGTCGGTTTTGTTGTTCAAGGTTTCAGGCACACCATGAATCTTCGCAGCACGTTCGCAGAAAGTCGTGCTGTACAGTATTGTGATTATTGTGCGTTTCATGCTATTGGCCTTCACTTCTTTTACAGATGTTGTTCATAAGACTTCGGGTTCGGATGGTGCGTAGAATGCGGATCTGCGCAGTTAGTAAGTGCTGCTTCAGCTAGAGTAGAGCTGGGCAGATTCATTTTGCGAGATGTCCGTCTCTGTCTCTCTGTGTGTGTGTGTGTCCGTGTGCGTGTGCGCGAGCTTTTGAATAAGCCACCTGGAAAGTAGCCTCTAGACAATGGATTTCTTGTCAACCCCTTGAGGACTCCTCAATGCTCGCAAGCACCACCCACAAGTAGCGAGCATATCTTGAGGTTTCGGGCCAATTAGTGCTTGCATCTTGGCCTTGACAGGTTGCCTGTACGATGCCCTGAACCCCAAACCCTAGACCCCCGCATTCTTGCAGAGGCATGTGGAGGGCCACGTCTTCCGCACGTCGCAACCCAGCAGTAGCCAGCACAAGGAGGCGAGTTTCGGGGATTCAAGGGTCCGGGGTGTGGGCGGGTGTACTTGTTGTGTGTGAATTCTTCTCTTTTGGGTGGGCAACAGCGCCAACACTGATTCCCTAAATCCAAACACCTTCATTTGGTCTTTGGGTTCAGGGTACAGTAGTAGTTCTGAAATTGAGTACTCAGTGGGAGTATATGATCATTGGGAACCTGGACCTTAAGGCTTCATATCCCTGAACCCCGAGTTCTGATGGCAGCTTCCTGGTTCCCTAGCAGGCTTTGCGGCTTGGGGTATAAGGTTATAGGGTTCAGGCCAGGTCTGGGGAGTTTGAGGCTTTAGGAGCCTTTCGAGAAGGATTTCAAGCAGACCCCCTCCCTGTAAGCCTGTCAGCTCAAAGTCTCTAATTAAGCCGGTAAACACATCCCTGAACCCCAAGCCGTCAAAGCCCTTAACGGTGGTCCCTGAACTGTTCTGCGGAGGCTTCGCTGACAGGCAGAGGTGGCATCTGCCGGGGCATCGGGATGAGGGCCGAACTTCAGAGGAGTTTGGTTTCCAGGAAAACCACCCGAATGCAAAGAAAACCTTTCGCAAAAACTTACTATGATATACCCCCCCCTAAAAGACATGTCATCCTAATTATTGCGGCCCCAAGCCGTCAGCTAAATCTTTGTTCTTGCAAGACCACTTGCCGGATGTGTTGCAGCGTCCCGCTTAGAAACAAGCTTCAAAGTGAAAACTCTAAGGCGTCTACTGGACTAGTGTAACATGGGGCTTTGAGATCCTCAGCCGTTAACCCGTAACCTTGTACGAGCACACGATGAAAATCAAAATCCTCAGCCCTTTTCACGACATTTCAGGCTTCTGTAGGCGGCATGCGCGCCATGGCCCAGCCTCACACGTAGCCAAAGATTACACCCTATGCCTTCATCATTGTTGGGGTATGGGGGTTTATTTAGGGTTTCGAGGTCTGTAAGAGGTTTAAGCATTAGGGAAGGTGTTCATAGTGTTTCGGGGTCTGGGGGTTACGTTTTGATTTCAAGCTTTGCTGGACTTGTGCCGACTGGTTTGAACCTGAGACCTTATGCTGTAATGCTTAGCCTTCTAGGCCTTGAGCTGCTCAAAAAGCATTGCACTGTAAGAAAGACAACCAAGGTCAAGTGTACCAAAATGGGATTTTCTCACCCAGAGCCGGAATGTTCAGACAACAGCATACCAGAAGTTTCTCTAAATCTTGGAAGTCCGTGAAACCCACGACCACTGGGTCGAGGCGCATCGCCTCAAAGGCAAGCGTTGAGCATCAAACCCTAGAGCCTTATAAGCCTTCTGTACAACCCTATCAGCTCTACAATCGTAAGCCTTAAACCCCACACCCTAAATATTCCCATAAAGCTTAAACTACCGGCAGGTCTCTCCGCGAGTCCAGTTTGCACTTCTGCTTCCGGAGCTCGACGATCGCCAAGGGTGGTGCCACCCAGGGCAGAGGCTCAGCACAAATGTGCTTCATGTCGTATGGTAGACGGTTTATGGCGTAGAGGTTTTGGATTTGGGTCTCAGGTTCAGAATGGTGTTAGTTGGCACGTTCGGAGCTGTCGAGTAAGAATAAGAAACCTTTGCTACAGGGTGTTTGTTTGGTGCGACAAGTTCTCACTGCCTGTGGAAGTTCGTGACGGAGAGACGATATTCGATGGCAACTGTTGGTTGGCTAGTTTTTGACGGGACCTTCGGGTTGGAGCTTTGTGCTGTTTGCATCTCGGCGAGGAGTTTCCACACACCTTCTCTCCGCCTCTCCCGTTCTTTCGCTCTCCTTGTTTCAATCTTTCCGTCTCCCTATCTCTGTTGCTTCCACTTTGATGTTAAGGATAAAGCGTGTAATATCTAATCATGCATTTCTATCTCTCTCCCTCGGTCTAATCAAATATGCATGTCTTATGTATATTCGAAGGCACATGTGTTGCATCTTTTGTCGGTTTGACCGTCCGCCGATTTATAAGCATGTCCATCTAGCACTCGTGTTTGATACTTTGTGTTTGTGTGTGTGTGTGCGTTTATGCACGCGTGTGTGTAGTGCGTTTGTGTGTGTGTGTGTGTACTAGCATTCGCGCACACACACACAGGTGCAGGCACAAGCACAGGCACGGGCACAGACCCAGACAGATGCAGATGCTCATACAGATACAGATTCAGCTACAGCACAAATAAAACTACATGTGCCAACACGCACACGTATACACAGACACCTAAACATGCAGACATGGACAGGGACATCGGCTTCGAGACAGACACAGACACATCTGGATAGGCAAAGGCCTATATAGGCATGTGCATTTCCGATGACATAGATGTATCTTATATGTAATGTATGTATGCACGCATACACACACATGTATATATATATATATACTTATTCATCTGCCTGCCTACCTGCCTGCCCGTCTGGCTCGCCGTATTGATGTACCAATGCGTATGTATGTATGTATGTATGTATGTATGTATGTATGTATGTATGCATGTATGTATGCATGTATGTATGAATGTATGTATGTATGTATGTATGTATGTATTTATTCTGTATGTATGTATGTATGTATGTATGTATGTATGTATGTATGTATGTATGTATGTTCGTTTGTATGTATGTATGTATGTGATCGATCATTGCACACTACATGTTTTCAGCATTTGTAGATAGTTTAGGCACATGTTTATGCATATGCCAATAAACGTGTCTGTGTCGCTGTGTGTGTGAACCAGAGATAGAAGAGAAGGAGCCTCGCGAGCCTCCACCTGTACGTAGCCTGAAGAAGTTACGAGCCTGTGTATTGTGTGCCCCCTTATTCTGAAGCCGTAAGTTGTTAATCCTCGACTGTGATCTGAAAACAGAATAGACGTTGATACCGGGGATTCATGTCAGCCCTGCATGCATATGGGAACCGGACTCTTGGACCAAACTACCTGAACTGCTCGCGTGAGGATTCGGTTCGGGGGTTCAAGCTCGGAAGTATGTTTGGCAGGCCCGCTCTGCTGCACAGTTAAGGCACTGTAGTGAGATCCCCAGGACATCGTCGAGGCATCTGCCGCTCTTCAGGAGAAGGCCGGGCAAGAAAGACCGTCTGACCCCAGCCCTTCAGTGTAGGGTTTACAGTGTTTACAGCGTTGTAGATTCTAGATTTGTTCCAGGGTGTCAGCTTTCAGGGGCTTGGCTCATGGCAGGAAGTGGCTATGCAAACCAAGGAAGCGCAACAATCCTTGTGAGCCGTTGCGTCCTCATCACGGCGAGTGGTGGAGGGCTTGGGTGCGGTTTCATGGTCATACACTAAAAGCAGTCGGGCCTTCCTAAACACCGAGCAGCCTCGGCTACACCCACAGGTCCGGGGAGGGGCATTCTCTGGGGGTTTCCGCAACGGGATGTTGATGCTCAGGCATTTTAAACAAGTTTACTCGTGGTCGAGCGCTCGAACCCGGAAGCAATGTCAGAACTTCGGGAGTTCATGCTGTTATCATGATGCCGCAAGTTTGAACCCGACGCCGCAACTCCAAACCCGGATCCTGCCGCAAACCTCAAACCCTACCATCTGTGAGTGTAGGTAGCTGTTCGGATGTGCCGGGACCTCCCGGCCAATTGGCTTGACCATTATGGTTTGATAAAATTGCACTGAAGAAAAGAGCCTTCAAACAAAAAGCATTACGCTAAGCCCTACAGCGCGACTTAACCCTGAAACGCGAACGAAGCAATCCCGTCTTCTTCACTCTCAACACGAATGCCTTATTCACGTCCACAACAACTGAACCTCCTAGTTCAGCAGGCCTCTGTGGGCACCACGACTCCCAGATTCATGGGAGGAGTGGGGAGCTGAGGTCTACGAAACTTCAAGAATCGTGAATACCATCAGTTGACTTGAGTGTGAGTCTCGCACCTTCAGCATTTAAAGTATTTACAGTTCAAAGTCGCCTTAGCTGCTCCTTTGTGCATGGATTTCTTTAGAAACATGGGGAGCATCCCTCACCCGAAACTCAAGTTCGTCCGTGCAGCACCGATCCGAGTCAGCCCCTTGAAACGGTCTAAACCCTCGAAGACCTTGAAGATGAAGAAACAGTTTTGCATATGTAATCCAGAGACTCCGGGCCTATTGCCGCGACTTCAGACTTTTTTGGGGGTGGGAAGGAAAGCTAGCCTTGTAGGTTGGGGAGTTAGTAATGGCATCTGACTAGTTGTAAGTGGTCCCTAAGTCAAGGCAGTTCTAGTGGATTTTACCACGGAAATCTTCTAACTATTAAGATTCCTACCTTCGCGTCACGGCCGAGAGCTGACATGTCTCGGCCCGGTTTCTTCCTATTGCTTGGGGGCCGCGTATGGTGAACGGTTCATGTTGTAAACATGCCAGGTCTCTGGATCTCAGCTCCAGACCCTGGATCCTGAACCTTCAGATCGAAGAGTGCAAACTGAACTGCTCAGTTTGCAGCCACCATGACCAGAGACATGACCCCACACAAGGGTAGCTTGGAGGTTTCGGCTGTCGGGACTAGCCCTAAGGCACTGGGCGCAAGAGATCCATAGCTATCTCTAAGCCGCGATCACGCCAGGAGAGTATACACACCTTCATCCTTCAGCCCAGGTAAGCAGAATATGTGCACGGCAGTTTCAGGAGTCAAACCGGAGGCCACATAAAGTTTAATGAAAGACTTCCGGCTAGTAACTAGTAGCATCCACATTCTCAATCAAGACCCTTGAAGAGGGACCCTGACTTACTAAAACCGTTCTTGAGCCATGGCGCTTTCGCGGGAGGGACTCCTGGCGAAGCTGAAGGCTCTTAGTGGACTGAGTGCTTTGGGACGTAGGGCTTTTAAGGTCTTCGGGGTTCTGGACTTAGAGGATTTTCGCGGTTTGGAAGTTCACGGGTCTTAGGATTTTTGTGCTTAGGGTTGGGGATTAGTTGCACGGGATCCTTTAGGTTTATTGTTGAGGCCTTAGAGGCGGATAGGGTTTGAAGTTGAGGGCTTGCAGATGCCATTTTACAGGGAAAGAGACATGGCGGGAAGACCAACTCCATGCGCTTCACGCCCAAGTCATTCGGCCTGGTGAAAATCACACTGAGTGCACATGGGCTTTGTGCAGTGGCATCTGGCAAAGCTTAGTCAAAGGACGGCCTTTCAACTTTATGGTTTGGCCTTCAATACGTAGCCTCGATCCACAAAAGCTCCTAGTTCAGCTGCTGTAGCCAGGATTGGGGTTGGGACACAGAGCAGCAACGGCATCCTAGCTAGAAACAGCGGCTCTTCTTCAGCCTTCAAGCCCATTCTATAGCCTGAGTCCCGATTCTCCGAGCAGGCGTGGGGCATACCACATCCCACCATCCAGACACTTGGCGAAAAAGACCGGTACCCTCCCACACCGGTTTCTGGATGGTTTAGGATTAACTATATGGGCTATTGTTAGGTCTGGGGCCAAGCGCTTTGGTTGTTACTCTGGCCATTACTTATGCAGTACGAAAACTGGCCTCGCGGTTTTCGTGTCAAGGAGTTCAGGGTCACCGCATGGAATTTAATGTTGAAGCCGGTGGCTAATCATCAGGGCACCTTCATAACACCCTTACCGATGCAGTCCCACAGAACTTGAAAACAAGCAGATACAGTCCGATGAAGCATGACAAGCCTGATGCCGACTGATGACGCATCTCACAAGGATTGCACTAAAATCGGAGGAAATTTCCGTGTCGGAGGCATCCGAAGGCATTTTCGGATTATGGATTTCGTGATTGCAGGCAAAGGGCTCCTTTTGCTTTCCCACTTAAGGTACGCATGACCCACGAGTTAGGGGCTTAGAACAGTATATTCGGAAGGGTAGCATTACAAGGAACTTCCCTAAACCCGAAGCCGCTCGGGGTGCAAGACCGTAAATCCGAAACCCGAAACTCAAGAAAGAACACACATGCGAACAATTAGCACAGGTATCCCTTTATAGTCCCTACACACCTATACAATAGAAAGCCCTTAACATTCCTCCCTTCCTAGACTATCGCACACCGCACTGCGAAGACCCGAGCATCCCTCTATACTACCCATGGACCCATACTAGAGTAACTACAGTATACCCACAAGCCAAGCATCCAAAACCTAAAGTGCGAGGCATGCCTTGTCACCGACTTGCGAGCTTCATAGCGAGAACCTGAAGGCTTGTTGTTTCTTCGGTTTAGGGCCGTCAGAGCGGAGTTTGGAGGCTCGAGGTTTGTAGGCTTTGGGGTTTCGAGGTTTGTATGGGGTTGTAACAATTCTGCGAGCCTGTAGCCTTGTAGGTGGCTCGGTACGGGTAGGGCTGGCAGGACTTAACCATTGTCCGGTGTAGATTTGGGGAGTTGGGTGGTAGGGTTTACGGGGCTTTATATTTAGCTATATATATATATATATATACATATGCGCGTGTGTGTGTGTGTGTGTGCGGGCGCGTGTGTGTGTGTGTGTTTGTTTGTTTGTCTGGGGTGGGGGGAAAGGGGGTGGTAGACTGGAGGTGGGCTTCGAGAACTCGGTGCTGTTTCCAAGATTTCTAGTCGGTTTAGTCTTGGTTTTGAGGAAGCAGGAAGCTGTAAAGCAAGTTGATACATGGAAACGGTTAGCCTGAAGAAGCGTTCTAGATCGACCCCGTTTTGAGTGAGTAGCTGAGTGTGCAGAGGGGTCAACATCACAAACTTGCAACTACGTTGCACGATAGAAAATTTGTGATGGTGCATAAAGAAGAAGTCAACAAGAGTGGCTAGTGGCGCAACATACTCCTACCTTGTCAGGCATTTGGCTTGTTAATTTCGTAAGGGCCGGTTATTCTGGTGTAATGAGACTTGCAAGGCTCGTGATATTGAGTACGACTGCCAAAATGCTGTCTTTGTTTCATCGTATGCTGAATCTTCAAGTTGTGAAAGACATCCGTCTACATATGTCAGGAGGCGAGATTCAAGATCCAAGCTTATCGCAAACTAGTGGGATAGTTCGTTGTTCTGTCTACGTGTGCTGAGAGGCCATGTATCTCTGTGTATCGTCTAGCTATCGACCTATCGGTGTTTCTATTTATCGATCTACCTACCTGTCTACCTACCTGTCTACCTACCTATCTACCCATCTTTCTATCCACCCAGCTAACCATCTTTCCATCCATCTATCTATCCATCCATCTATGCATTCATCTGTCCATCTATCTACCCATCTAACCATCCAGCTATCCGGCTATCCAGCTGCCCAGCAATCCAACTGTCCATGTATCAATATTTCAATCATTCCTTATTTCCATCCTTTCATCCATCCATCCATCCTTCCATCCTTCCCGTCCATCCAGCCCTCCATCCAGCCATACATCCATCCATCCAGTCAACCATCCATCCATCCGCATATTTTCCATTTTGGGCCAAAGATATGCAGGGTGTACGCAGTGGGCCGTTGGGGATAGGTTCAAGCCCGTCACGATACACTCCGTCTCGGAAGCAAAGGCAAATTGCAGAATCCAAGCGTTAACGTGCAAGTTCCAACACAAGGGTTCCGCAGTGGAAATTGCTATTCCTCATGCCGGTACTGTCCTGCAGGGGACGGAGTTCGCGCACCTCATTGGCAAAGGGCAAGCAAAGAACTTGTTCTTCAAAGTCCCATCAGGCAGCTGCCAGACTCTCCGGGGCGTTGAACCTTGAGCCACCAAGCCTGGACTTGAGAACTCTCGCACTGGACGCTTCTAGCTTCAGCTATACCCACGATATCTTGGGTGTCAGTACAGCACCGCAGTGTCTGAGTCTTCAAGTCCACATGCACAGCTTAAAGCTTGAAGCCGAGCTCCACCATCCCAGGTCCAGGCCTGCCATGCTCCGAAGCCCGAAGTCTGCGGACACCCAAAGGCCCTCAAGTCGAAAACGCGAGAACGAGTCTTAAGTCTTATAAGGCAAAAGCGAGCAATCATCCAGCAAGATTAGCAACAGTCGCGAAAAGAGGCTCGGCCGTATATACCCCAAACTCCAGGCCTCCTCAAAACCCCTACAATATGTCTTCAAAGCACTAAAAGGAAACAACAAAACGGACCTTAACACCTTCAAGGCCCAAGCCCTAAGAATCGGAATGGCGCCTGGACCTTGATTGGATCGAAGACAGTGGAGAGGCGGCGGCGCCTTGAAGAACCGACTCTTTCTGGTTTGTGCCCTGGTAGAGACGGCACCTGGGCTTTGGGATTCGAAACCCAGGGTTTTATGGGGAGTTTTGAGTGAGTGAGTGAGTGAGTGA